AATCAAATCATTGTGAATAACAGTATACTACAGCATTTATTGAGTAATCAATAAGTGCGCACTTACTGCGAATGTTTTTTTAGAGGAAATATTGATTCTTGACTAAAATTGCGGGCATAAATGATAAACTGAAAAAAGTGATATTCGATCAGAATCCATTGAGATTTCTGGAGTCAAATCAATACAATAACTATTTAGTTTAATATTTCCATCAAATGATTTTATTCAACTCAATTTTTTGCTTTCTGCTGTTTTAACAAAACACCCAGTTACGCCACTGCAAATGGCATTTCTTTGAGATATGAGTTCTTGATGAAACTTATTGATTCAGCCAGTCATCGCAATCAAAGTCAATCATATTTTGTCTATTCGGTTCACAATCTAGTTATTATTATAGGAAGATGGTAGGTTCTCTTGACAAATAATTGCTTTTATTCGAAAACTAATTGTGGAGAATAGGTTCGGGCCACCCTTCATCATCATCGGGATATTCATGTCCAACAACATCATAAACCTTGAAAAAAAAACAACGATCAAAAATTTTGACATATTTGTCACAATTGAAATTTACTTACTTGGCTGATTGCTAACAATAAAAATGCAAACAAAATATATGGATTCATCTTGCTATTGTATTCTGTGTACTGTCCACTGTCCACTGCAACTGTGAAACTCACTCTGAAGCCAAGCAAAACAGCGAATGTGTTTTATAGTCGAAGTCATCGGACTTATCAATTAAATCAACTTTGAATTAGTCTTAGAAATGGTGTTTCTTCGAAATAGGATTTCTTGGTGAAATCTCTTGACTCAACTGATACTTTCAAATCAAATTCGGTCCACATTACTGTATCACGATGCAAAACAGTTTGTTAAATGCGACGAATAACTGTGTTTGTCTTGCCGTAGTGCGTCTTAATCTCAATAGGTGACCTTTGACTTGCGTCTATCTAATTGTACGACAAATAGCTCTCGGCTGGGTTTGCACTGTTCGCATGAAAATGACACTCTGCGTAGAATATTCACAAAAAGTTTGTAGATTTGTACTAAAAAGTTCCATCGACTTTTGTG